GCGAGCCGGAAGCAGGCGGAGCCCGCCGGCCCCTCTGGGAAGCCCGGAGGTTTCCCTCTCGGTGGTGCGTGTCCCGGGTGCTCACGCGCGAGGCCTGCGTGGTCCGGTATCTCTCTGAAAAGAGTGTTGCAGATGCCCAGCGTTCGGCTGCAGATGTGGCCACAGCAGGACCGTGTGCAACTATGACGGAAAAGTGGGGCTTTGTGGCCTCCAGGACGTGGCATCACATATAGAAACAAATGTTTATGTCTCTTTAATCCCTCCCCTATCCCTGGGAGCCAGTCCGGGAGCTAGACTGGTAAAGATTAACCTAACAGTCTGAAGTCGGCTCAATCACTGTTCCCTTTAACCCCTAAGGTCTTAACAAGGCAAGATTTCACATACTGTATGCTAACTTTTCCAGGCAAAGGCTAGAAACTAGAGAATCTCCTCGATTTCACACTGTAAATGCTGAGGACTGTCAGAGGAGCACATTACAATTTAAACTGACCTGTAGGAGCAGGCAGACATCTGTCCCACAGCTTGCCTAATCTCTATTACGGTGTGGGGTACTCGGAATGTACAAAATGAGACCTCTCTGAAGGTGCTACTTAGAAGTCTCAGCCCGGTGGGATGAGGGCTAGGGCAGAGGCAGTTAAGGGAGATGCAGGAAATACCCTGCTGGAGGCCTATTCCTTGGGGAAACATGGCAGTGGTAGCTAGATTAAGGGAGAAATCATGCAGCCACATTGGTTTTTTTTGTATTTTGTTTTTTTAAATCAACAACTCATGTTAGAGCTTCAGTGTTGGAGTGGCTGTGAAAAGAGGAGAAACACAACTATAACCAGAAATGAATTAGATGGAAAGCTATAACCAGGGAGCCAGCCTTGCCACTGCTGAGTCAACTACACATATACACCGCTAAGAAAAAGGCCCAAGAACCGCAGAGTTTCACCTTCACTCAATCTATGGCCAGAAGTACCTGTTTACCCCGGACACAGAGCACAGAGGAAATCCGAGGACCAACTTCCCATTTCACATAACCTCACCAGCAACTCTACCCCAATACTGGCCAGTCACAAGCCATTAACAAAGGGAGATCTGAATGCACAGACTGAGCTCATTGTGGGCCAAGAAGCATTACTCCAGGATGATCAACACCTCCGGGCGAAGACTGTTAAAGATAAACTGCACTAAACTTCCAGGCATTACAGAAGAAAGAAATCTTAGTTGCCAGGAGACATAGAGCAGCCTAATGCAGGGACCAACATTGCAGCCAGGTGTCTGGCACTTACTGGATGGATATTCAGGTGTCTTTTTGAAAAGGGCCATAATATAACTCACAGAAAGGACAGAAGTGTAAAAATAAACTCATACATAACTTAAATTCCAACATTGTGTTCTTTTAAGAGTTTTGGTTTTCTCTGAAAGTGAAATAACAACATAACCAGCACCCCTCTCCAATCCTCATCCCCAGTTTGTTACTGTCCTTCAGCACCTCGTGGGTGCTGTGGAGGCTGTGTAGTAACATTCCATTAACAATGAGGGAAAACCCTAAATGCCAATTGAAATGAATGGATAAAGGTAGAAATGAGTAAATACAAATCATTAAAGTCAGAAACCTGTAAATCTCTTGGCTGTGAGAACTCAAAAGCCATTTTCAGCCCAGAGGAGATCCGTTTATTTTTTCCTACACTCCTTGCTTTCTTGTCATATAATTTGCTACCTTCCAAATTATATTTAGAAATTGCTCTTTTCTGTCTAGCTAATTTAGGATTTCTCACCCCTCAGCCTTCCTTGCTGTAATCCTCCCAGGCACCCTGAAGCCCTTTCTGTTTAATGCTGTTTCTGGGAAATAAATAGAACAAAATTTATATCTATACACACACACACACACACACACACATACATATATATATACATACACACACACTATGTATAAATATACATTATATATAGATATTTCTGACACACACATATACATATACATGTATATATGTATGTGCGCGTGTCAGGAATATGTCAAAGAAACCACAGTTATTGTCATTTTCCTACATTTTGACTGCTTTTCTTAACCATCATTCTGGATGAGAGATCTCGGCATATCTGAAAGCTCTGACCACAGCTGGGTAAGTAAGTTTGGTTTTTGCCCTTTATTCCCCTGAATTCTATATATTGCACAAACCTTATGAAGGAACAAAAATTAAAATCCTTAACATCCTACTAACCATTTAAATTTCTGCCTGTGCTGAGGGAACTTTGGGGGGTAAGAGAAATTTTCTGTATCTTGGTTATACAACTGTATTCATTTGTCAAAACTCACCAAACTGTATACTTTAAAAGGGTGGATTTTACTGTCTATAAAGTATATCTCAATAAACCTGACTAAAATCAAAACCAAAAACAGAATGTCTTAAAACACACACACACACACACCAGAATGTCTTTCTAGGCCCTCCCTTGCAGATATAATTTCATGGTGTTATAATTATAATATGCGTATCACTTTCTGAGTATTTACTCCCACATGATTTAAAGTAACTTTCCATGTGGCTACAACATCCTGAAGCTGTGACTGTGAGAAAGGTCAAGGCCTCTAACCACCAGATGGAAAGCATGGCCAAACCAGTGAGATCATTACATCTGGTTAATATTAGCATCCTTTAAACTCTTCTCTCTGGTGTTACCAAAGTAGCTCATTGGGAAATTAATTTAAAAGTGCCACCACTTACAATCAGTCACAGGGGACATGGAGTAGGTGTGAGGACGTGTTGAGCACACATATGGTAACTGATCAGGAAGAGACTGTCTTCCAAGGCAGAGAAGCAAGTCATTGTTGGGTTTCTCTTCTCCCTTCCTCTGGTGTCCCTCAGCGTCATGCCAACAAGGTTACTCCATGTGTAATTTAGAGATTACTACACCCTGGTACCTGCCCTCAACTGCACAAACCCAAGTCACTTTTTATACCTACATATTTGAGTGGAGACTAAAAACATATGGATGGGAATAGCAAAGAAACCCAAACAGAAAAACCGCACAGCCTTTCATTCATATTCTTTTCACTGATTTCCTTGTTCTATAGTTTAGTTACACAAGATGATCATAATAGTCATTATGAAGGTGTTAAAAAAAAATCCAAGGCTCAGATTCTCCATAATGAACCTTGCTACCTGCCCCAGAAAATGGTCCTTCTTAAATCCTAAAAGTAATCATCGGATACTTTTTCTGATCACTTCCTCCCACAGACTTTGCATTTTCTGTACTTCTTGAATTAGGATGGCCCGTCTCATTGTAATGCCACCCTCCAAGAATCAAAAATGTTATGCCAATTCTTCTAACCCTAGTAGCCCCAGAAGGCAGGAGCAGACTGATGGCAGGCCAACACTGGACACTAAAAAGAACAAATACTACCATTTCCTACCCAGAGAACAGAAGAGAGTAGTCAAACACGGTCCTCAAGTGTGAGAACTTAAATGGAGCTGGGAAAACAATAATGACTGACTTAACAGGAGACCAGAGGAGTACCAATAAAGATGCGACTAGGAGCTCACAGGAAACTGCTACTGTAGATGCAATGGAGGAGGACACGAGGGAGCTCATGGGGAATGAGATAAAGGCTGTAAGGGGATGACTTCTCAGGAGAAGCCAGATCCTGAAAGATGCACTATTTGGACATGTGAAGAACTGGCCATTTCAGAGGAGGGGAGCAGCACGAAGAGAGGCATGGAGGGAGCGGGGAGCACTGCCCGAGGAGGAGAGCAGGGGGGAGACCCTGGCAGGGCTGGGGCCGGGCCCGTGTGGTGGGGAGGCAGAGGGGAGAGGACTGAAGTGGGGCCATGGGGCTTCACTGTGGACGGCCCTGTAACTTGGGCGGGCTGCTTCCTAGTATGCAGTTTCTGATGCTGAATGAAACTTGCACTCCACTTGAAGGATTTCCCGCACACCTTACACACATAAGGTTTCTCCCCGGTGTGAACTCGCTGGTGCTGAACCAGGGTGATTTTCTGATTGAAGGCCTTCCCACAGTCCTGGCATTCATAAGGCTTCTCCCCAGTGTGGATTCTCTGATGTACTATGAAGCGTGAGCCACAACTAAAAGTTTTCCAACATTCATTACATTTATAGAGTCTTTCCCCCGTGTGGAACCTCTGGTGCTGGAGAAACACCGAACTCCGGCGGAAGGCCTTGCCACACTCTTTACATTCGTAAGGTTTCTCCCCAGTGTGGATTCTCTGATGCTGGATCAGGACTGAATTCGAGCTGAAACTTTTCCCACACTCCTTACATCTGTAGGGCTTCTCCCCGGTGTGAATTCGCTCATGGATGATGCAGTCATAGCTACACCGGAAAGCCTTCCCACATTCCTTACATCTGAAGGGTTTCTCCCCAGTGTGGATTCGCTGATGCCGAATAAGTTTTGAGTTGTAGCTGAAGGTTTTCCCACACTCCTTACATTCATAGGGCTTCTCTCCCACGTGGAGTTTCTGATGCTGAAGGAGGTGGGAATTTTGACTGAAGGCTTGTCCACACTCCTGGCACGAGTACGGTTTCTCCCCAGTGTGGGTTTTCTGGTGCCGGGACAGTTTCGAGTTGTACCTGAAGGCTTTCCCACATTCTTTGCACTCGTAGGGCTTCTCAGCCATGTGATTGCTCTGATGCTGGGGAAGGTTTGAATGTCGGTTGAAATGTATGCCAGGCTCACCACATTTATAAAACACTTGTTCTCCCAGGAGGCCCTGCTTTGTAATGAGATGTATGTAAACACCACAGCTTCCTTCCAACTGTCTGGCTAGCTCCTCCCTTTCAACAGTGGGGGATTTAAGATCCTGGACTGGCGAGACTGTGAAAGCTCCTTTCTCTGAGTTGGGTTTCTTTCCCATTTCATCTTGTTGCAGCCTCTCTAAGCTGTTCTCCAAGTGAGGGGGCTGGGGGACCTCCATCCGCAGCACCTCTGCCATCAGTCTGTGTGGCTCTGGTCCTTTAGAAATGTTCAGCTCTGGAGTCTGCTCTTCATTCTCAGTCTGAGCTCCACCACCTGGCATGATAAAAACATAGAAGTCACTTATTTATGCTTGAAGGGGAAAGGGACTCAGCAGTATTAGCTTGCCCAGGACATATTAAATTTTTTGGAGAGAGACAGAGCCACCTGACGGTGCCCTGAAGGGAAAGTGAAAATACTGGAGGTGGAGAAGGCAAGCAATGTCCCCAGGACAATTAGCAATGCCAACAAAACCAGGGAAGACAGTGGACTCTGTTCACTGAGACCAATGGAACAACAAAAATGGGAATGGGGTGGAGAAACTGCCGGAAGGGGAAGCAAGGAAAAAGAGCAGAGGGAGCTGAAGATGAGGAAGGAGATCTCTAAACTGAAGCAAAGATCTAGGTGAGCAGCTCTCACACCATACAGTGTCCAGAGGGCTGGGAGACACTGTCTGCAGCTGTGGGTCCCAAGGCTCTGTCAAGGCAAGAAACCTGTCCAAATGCTTTAGAATAGTCTGTCATCTTTAAAGAGATGTTCTCAGGGTGGGAGGTATAGCTCAGTGGTAGAGCCCACGCTAGGCGTGCAAGAAGTCCTGGGTTTCAATCCCCAGTGCCCCCATTAAAGAGGAAAAAAATAAATAATGGAAGAAAGCAACTTAAACTTAAAAAAAGAGAGAGAAAGAGAGATGTTCTCTATCACAAGCCTGACCAGAGTTACAGGGAAAATAGTCTGTAACCCTGCCAGTTGTGAGGGGTTCATAAAAAGACCACAGTTTCAAAACCCATGCACTATACCCTGGGAGAGAGACTTAGTCCTGAAAGGAAAAAAAAGACATGGCAGGTCAAGATCCTTCTAGGACTGGAGATGGCAACTGGTGGTGAAGGGAGACTCGGACTCTCACTGGTGCACTAGGGCACAGAAACCGCTTTGGCCTTTTCAAGCACCAAAGATCCAACAAATGAAACTTCTAGCTTAGTGTTTCTCAAGCTTTTCTGACCATGACTCGCAGTTTAGATTCTTACCTGTTACACACACACTTACACACACACACACAAACACACTCTCACAAGCAAATAAAGCTTAAATGGAAACGAAAGTTTCACAGAATAATACCCCTAATAAGAGTGATGGATAAATGATGGGTTTTATACTATTTTGGTCTATTTTTACTCAAATCTAACACCAGTCAAGTCTAGTGTTTAAATGCTGAGCATGACTCATTGGGGAGGTGGCAACCCAGAGTTTAAAAATCACAGTTCAAGATCCTCAAGAACACTGGTCCTCAAAAGTGTGGTCCAGGACTGTCATCATCTGGGGACTTGACAGAAATGCAAATTCTTAGGCCCTGCTCCAGTCCTACTGAATTAGAATTTCTGGAGGTGGTGCCCAGCCGTCTGTGTTTTAACAAGCCCTGCAAGTAATTCTGATGCACACTAGAGTTTGAAACCCCTTGATCAAGAAGCTAAAAGAGGCTAATTATTTAAGTCTGCACTGTCTGGTTAGGTGGCCACTAGCCACATGTGACTGTTTAAATTTAAATTAGTTAAAATGAAACAAAATTAAACATCCAGTTCCTCAGTTACACTAGCCACATTTCAAGTGTTCATGTGGCTAATGGCTACCATATTGGACAGTGTGGGAAGGTAACATTTCCATCACTGTAGAAAGTTCTACAGGACAACGTGGGTTTACAGCCACTGGCAGGCTAAAAAGACAAGGTGAAAAAGGGAGACACTGACAACCGCAGGTGCGCCCCCAGGAAAGGTTTTTCATCAAGATGACCTGAAGACTGGAGTCAACCTAAAGGCACTGATGAAGACAGAGCGGGGGTGAATTGGAAAGGAGCCTTTGCTTTACAGAGGTTCTGATAGCATTAGGGGTTGAGAGAATATGAGAACACGGCCAACTGGATGAGAAAAGCTATACACCAAGTCTCTGGATGGTTCTGAACATTTACTTCAATTCAGTATCTTTCAAAAAAGGAAACCCCTCATTCCCAATAAACAGGCTTTCTGTAAATCAATCAATACGATACTTCACATTCATAGAATGAAAGAAAAGAATCCATGATCATCTCAATAGATACAGATAAAGCATTTCACAAAATTCAACATTCATTCACAATAAAAACTCTTAATAAATTAGGCACAGAAGGAGCATATCCCAACATAACAAAGGCCATAAATGACAAGCACACAGCTAACATCATACTCAAAGGCTGAAAGCTTCTTCTCTAAGATCAGGAACAAGACACGGGTGCTCACTTTCACCACTCCTATTCCACACAGTGCTGGAATTCCCAGCTAGAGCAATCAGGCAAGAAAGACAAATAAAAGGTACCAGAATTGGAAATGAAGAAATAAAATTATCTATATTTGCAGATAACATGATTTTATACATAGAAAATCCTAAAGACTCCACAAAAAAAACCCTGTTAGATCTAATCAATAAATTCAGCAAAATTGCAGGATAGAAAATTAACATACAAAGACCTGTATAATTTCTATACACTAACAATGTTCTGAGAAAGAAATAAAGAAATTGATTCTTTATTCATAAATTGGAAGAATTAATATTGCTAAATATTATTATATTATTATATAATTATTAACTAAATATTAATATAATAAATGTCAATACTAACAAAAGACATCTGTAGATTCATGCAATCCCTATCAAGACACCAATGGCATTTTTTACAGAAGTAGAAAAAACACTCTCCAAAATAAACAGCCTTTCCTTCAAAAGCTAATTTATAATTTACTGTTGGGGAATTCATAAAAATTCCATTCTCCTGTACAGTTTCACACACACACACACAAAGTTCTTGTAGAAACAAGTTCTTACTATATTCTGTTTATACTCTTAAGTTGACTATCAGAAGCCCATTTTTTACTACAAAGGGTTTGAAATCCTTTAGCTTTACAAAGAAAAATGACAGAAAATGAAATGTTTGGACTGGTCTTTTCCAGTTTGGGGCTGAAGCCCTAGTGAGGGACACTTCTCTAAATAAGAGTGACCATTTTCATCCCCATAACAGGCATATGGCAGAAGAAGAATCTTTTCATGTTAAATCGTTTAAAAAAAAGGAGGCAGAGTTGGAGAGAAAGATGGCAGATTCTCCTACTTACCTGTGCTGATGCCTCTCAGGGCCTTTGCCCCGATGGCTGTCCAGGCATCCAGGCCCCATGGTGCTCCCCCTCGCTCCAGCTGGAATACCAGATCTGGTTTGGGGAATGGAAATGCTGCTGAAGGAGGACAAAAAGGAATAGAGAGCTGAGAGGAGTCTCCCCTGATCCCTCCCAGTCCACTCTCTGCTTTACCAGATGGAAAGAGAAGTGGTTGATGCAGGAGATGAAGTGAGGCCAGTGTGGAGACAGTCCGGGTTTTCTAAGGAAGGCTTGGATTGCTTTGCTCAGGAGGAAGCTTATTCTGGCTCTGAGAGCACAGAAAGTTCCCCTTGTTGCTGGAGGTGGTACAGGGGATCCTAGGAGACTCTCACACAGAGATGGGGCCATGGTCCCCTCCAGGGAACTGAAAGAGTGCAGGAATGAAGGTGGAACCTTCTCAGTTTTCTGTGCCCAGAGAGCACAGCCTCTCCCAGGAGAGTCCCCACCCAGAAACAGGGAAGTCTTGTTTAAAACCCAGGTGAACCCAGATCTTTCTCCACCAGCTACTCCCGCAACTGAGGACTAGAGAGCTCAGCTTGCACAGCATCAATCCTGGTGGTATTAGAGATCCCTGATCCACTGAGGAGGAAGCCAGGAGCCCCCAAGGGCAGGAGCTGAGTTGAAGGAAGGAAGGAGGACTCACCCAGGGAAACCACGTTTGCATAATTCTCCAGCATCACCTCCCTGTACAGGGCCCGCTGTGCAGGGGCCAAGCTGACCCATTGGTCCTGGGTGAAGTACACGGCCACATCCTCAAAGGTCACTGGCTCCTGCAATAACACATTCCTGCTTAAGCCCTGGATGGGGGCAGGGGAGGGGACTGAACTCTAGGCAAGGGAGGAACCTACTGGAGTCCAAGGGCTCTGCGCCCCAGGGAGGGTTTGACTGGAAAGAAGTGCCACACAGCCCTCCATTCAGGGACAGCCCTCAGACAGCATTCCCACTGTCAATGCGCTCGCCCCTGGGGTCCCAATACTGTCATCCCAAGCACACGGTGCTGTTGTCTGCCTGGTGGTCACACCACACCCCATGTCTGGCTCCACGAGCTGGGTCCACTTTCCGCCACACATTCTAAAAGCACCACAGAAGGAATCTTTCACCCTGCCTCCATCCATCCTGAAGCCTCCATCAGAGCCATCTGCTCAGCTCCTCTCTGGTCTGTCTCCTCCACATCCTCTACTACAGACAGAGGGTGATTCCATGGGCAGAACATCCTCCCTCTTCCCAACACCTGCCTTATCAGGAAGCTGGTTGTCCTCTGAAGGCAACATGGGTGTGCAGTGCCACCTCCTCCTTTCCTAACACACCTTGCTCCAGGGACAGGATGACAGTCTCTGTCCTTGAGCACAGACCTGCCTTTTGATCACCTAAGCTCTGCCCGACCTGCCAACACTGCCCTCTTCAACAGGCGTGGCTCCTTCTGCCTCCCGCTGGGGCCGTTTCCACCTTCTCAAGGGAGAAGGAAACCATCACAGGTTGTTTAGGCCATTGTGCTTGTCCTGTGCCAGTTACATTCACATTGATTCACTCAATCATTAGAACACAGCCATTAAGTAAGAATTATTATTCCCATTTCTAAATGATGGGCATCAGCGATATGAAACACTTTCAAATAGACAAACTAGAGGAATCCTCTTCATCTGAGTACTTATTACAAAGCTGTCTATGGAAGCAAACATTTCAAGATGAGCTGACCACTCATATAAACTAGTGCCAGTATAATATCGTTCCTGGACTCACTGTACCCTGTCCCAGTCTGTCATGTCAACACCCTTCTCTTTGGGCTTAGTCCCTTATAGGTGTAAGAAATAACCAAAGACGTACCAGAGGACTGTAGCCATCATTGTAAAGATTGGTTCATACAGGCATCATCGATGGATGCTAAATCTAGGAGGAAATTTGGATGACGACACCTGCATGTTCTTAAATGCTTCCCCATAGATTTATCAGTCGCAAGGGGGAAAACAGAAACTATACAAGAAGAAATTAGATGACACCTTGACCAGGAAATGTGAATGTAGCTAGTGTGACTGAAGAACTGAATTTCTAATTTTAATTTAGATAAATTTAAATAGGCACATGTAGCTAGTGGCCACCTTACTGAACAGTGGAAAACAGACACTACACTGACCCCAATTGTTAATATTCTGTCTTAACTTCCTTCAGAGTCAACAGCTGGGAACATGGTGCTGACCATCCTCCCTCACATTATGGCTTCCATCCTCCACACCTCTAATTATCAGCGTGTTCCTTGTTCTTTGTTCTCTGTGACATTCAGCTTCTCAACATCCTGCTCCATCTCCAATCCCTCTGCTTCAGTCCTTTGCTAGCACTTCCTCCTCCATTATTAAATCAACAGGGCTGTTGATTCTCCTGTGAAGGAAGGAGGTCACAGAGGCAGCACAACATGGTGGCAAACAGCACAGACTTAAGGCCTGTGGTTCTCAACGGGGGGCAATTTTGCCCATGAGGAGATATGTGGCAGTGTCTGGAAATGGTTTTAGTTGTCACAGTTGTCAGGTGGTGGTGATGCTATGAGCATACAGTGAGTAGAGGCCAGGGAGGGATGTGACAACATTCTACAACACACAGGACAGTCCCCATCGACGAAAATTATCTGATCCAAAATGTCAACAGTGCTGAAGCTGACAAACCCTGCCCTAGAGCCAAACTCCCTAGGTTCAAATCCCATCTCTATAACCATTAGCTATATGAATGTGAATGAGACACTTAACATTTTGTGCCTCAGTTTCTTCATCTGGAAAACTGGGAGAACAACAGTACCAGAAAACAAGAGTACTTAACAGGGCTCTTGTAAGGATGGAATGAGTTAATATGTGTAAAGCACAAAATTATCACCTGGCACATGACATTACATAAATCTCAGTACTTATTACATCCGGATTGGGGGATCTTCCCAGAAGATTCCAAATAACAAATGTTTGTCATAGAGGGTATAGCAAAGACTGACAGTTCTATCTACCTATCTATTTATCTATCCATCTCACTTCTGGGAAGGTTCCTAAAAGAGAACAAACTCAGCGGAGAGGTTCGTCTTTTGGGGAATCTGGACATGGAAGCTGGAGATCAAGCAGCCACCTTGGACCATGAAGTAACCTTGGGCTTGAGAGCCAGTGCTAGGATGGTGGAGCAGAAAGACAGGAAGAGCTTGGAAGCATGACAATAGTGGAGCTGCCACACTAGCCCTGGACCATCTCCCCCAGATTTCTTCTGCATGAGACAGAAGCCTCTATCTTATTTAAGTCACTATTACGTGGGGTTTTCTATTGAAATATAATCTTGAGTGAGTGCTATACTCCAGGCAAAGCACCTAGAGAGAATAGACTAATCGCAGATATTTAAATATTTCCTGACATGCAACTAATTTTGGCTTAAGTGGATGGCCCAATGTCCACAAAAAGGAGCCAAATACACATTGCCTGTAAGTTTCTGGGATGGAGCTTTTTTGTTATATCATACATCCATTAGATGATACACCCAGTTTTCACTTTACATGATCTAGGACTCTGGAAAAAAATTCACTGAAATCTTCCTCTACCACTAAGAAAACCCTGGAGGGAAAACTTCAAATGTGGCATGAATTTGTGCTGACGTAGGATACAGCCTCTTACACAGGTTAAGCTGCAGTCTTTGCAATGGGCTAGAGGCACTGGCTTCAGCTCCAAACTCAGCATTCCTCCAAGAATTCACCTCCCTCATCAATCCACACCTTCCTAATGCTCCCAGTTTGGGCTTCACTGTACCCCAACTCTGTGGTCTGCAGGGTGAACTCCTGTGGAAGAGCCTGTTTAATCTCAGGAGGCGGCCTTCCTCTGTGTATTGTCAGACTAACACTCCCAAATTTTAACTTGCCCATTAATTCCCAGATATTGTACAACTGTAGATTCTAATTCAGGAGATCTGAGATCCCGCCTTTCTATTAGGCCCCCTGGTAAGGCCAAAGCTGCTCATACATGCACCGTACTTACAGTTTGCATGAATGGAGATTCTCACTTTCCAGGAGAATTTCTTGGCTGGTGCTTCCCTCTGTCCTAACCTGATCTTCCCAAGATTCTCCTACTCTCCCTCATCCACTCTCCTAACATACTCCTTTGCCTTACTAAGTATCACGGATGCAAAGCTAAGCACAGGACTGGCCAAGTCAGGCTACAGGTCCTGTAATGCCCTTTCATATCTTTTCTGAACATGGAAAGCTGGAAGAAAGCTCAGCTCACCTGGGACCACGCTGTCTGGAGCATGGCCGATGACCCCTGGCTTCATACACTGCCCTGTCTGGAAAAGCAAGAACCTGCAGAGCTAAGAGAAGAAAGAATCACAATGAGATGGACCCTGTCTTGGTTCCCACATTTGCCACTTCTTCCTCCCTCAGGCTCCTTGTCACTAACGTTGGAAACGTAATCTAGGGACACTCTGGATGTCCTCACTGCACCCTCACTAGTGATTCACGGGGCGCTGCAATTGCTTCCTTTGTATACCCTACAAATTTGCCTGGTGAGTATGGAAATGCCTAGAATCTCTGAAGCAAGAGTCAAGGATTGCAGTGTATTCGTGGCTTTTAAGAAAATCCCTGGCCCACTATGAATGCACCACTAAGTAGTTTGCACTGACTGCTTCTAATGGCAAAGACCCGAAACAAGCTTGTGGAGAGAAAGGACGGTATCAGGCCTCAGGCTTCAGGACAAAACGCAAGTGGTGTTCTGTCTCCGGGAGTAAAGGGTAAGACGCTCAACGTCCCAGTGGCCCATGAGGGCCGGAGACCCCACCCGGATCCGCACACTCCGCCCTGGGAAGCAGGCGACCCCCGAACGTCACCGGCCCCCGCCCTGAGTACCTTGAGTCAGAGGATGTCGGGCCGGCTCTTCCGGGCAGGAGGGTCGGACACGAGCCTCTGGCGGCAGCGGGCGGGGCCCGGGCTCGCTGCACGCGAGGCCCCGACGCCCGACGCCCAAGCTCCGGGACGGGAAGGCTTTCGGCCATGGTGGAGCCGGGCCCCGCGCAGCCCCGGCGCCGGCAGCCCCGCAGAACGCAGAACGTAGCCAAGAAGGAAGCGCTCCCGGCGCCTCTCTAGGAAGCTGGGAGGCTGGCCCTTCTCCATGGTTCCCTCCGCCAGACCCCCACAGCGGGTCCGACACCAGCTCCTCTCTCTATGGCTTCTCACCCCAAGTTGGATTCCACGGCTTACTTCCTGTGATGCTTTCAGTTCTGTAAGTTTCACTTAACTAGCAGTAACTGGACCTAATGAACGTATAACCCCCGCCTCCGTCTTAGTGGCTGGCTGACTGGATTGTGAAATAAAATCATGTGGTGTGGGGTCGACTATTTAGGTTCAAATCCTGGCTCCACCACTATGCACTGTATTCTTGAGCGAATTACTACTCTTCTTTAGTTTCTCAGTTGAGAATGGTAACAGTTTCAAACTCAAATTCAATGCTTTAACTGAGTCAATTCATGCAAAGCTCTTATATACAACTGGTTCTGAACTGTCACACAGATACAAGGTTTAATAATGTGATATAAGAAATACATATTTGGTCTTCTGCCCAGTTCCTGACACAGTAAGGTTCTACAATCCTGTCTCCAGAGTAGTAAAGATGTCTTCGTACATGCTGAGACAGGTGGCTGAGGGCTCCCAGGTAGCTTTAGGATTGGTGGGGGGGGGGAGTGGGGGGCTGTGGGATACTGGTCACCAGAGAAACCAACCATGTGACTGGGACCACAAAGATAATCACCAGTAGCCAATGACTTAATCAAAAGTGCCTACATAAAAAAACCTCCGTAAAAACTATAAAGGGGGAGGGGAGTTCAGAGAGCTTCTAGGTAGAATGCATGGAGGTCCTGGAAGGGCAGCAAGCTAGAGGGCATGGGAGCTGTGTACCACCTTACTCACACCTTGACCCATGCATCTCTTCCATTTGGCTGTTCCTAAATTTTTTTAACAAACCGGTAACAATGTGTCTTCTGAGTTCTGCAATGAGCCTTAGCTCTAAAAAATTACTAAATCTGAGAATCATGGGAACTCCAATTTATAGCTGCACAGCAAGAAGTACAGGTCTGGGACTTGGAATTAGCAACTGAAGTGAGTCAGACCCCTTAAAATGTGGGGTCTGATGCTCACCTGGGTAGTTAAGATATCAGAGCTGAACTGTAGGATACCCAACTCAGTGCCTGAAGAGTTGGATAACTGGTTGGTGTGGGGGAAGAAAAGCCCATACATTTGCCATCAGACATGCCAAGTGAAGAACAACTCATGAGCAGAATAAAAATACTTTCAGACAAGTAAGCACTCAAAGTTTATCATTCATGAATGCTACCTGGAAGAAATACTAGAGGATGCAGTCCATGAAACTCAAAAAATACTAATCCAAGAGGAAAAGGTAGGACAGAAGCAGTACTGGTAAACCAAGAAACTAGTAAAAGACATCACTTATTTAGGTTAAATATCAAGACCTACTAAATGACATCACCACTACTATAGCTGGTTTGGACCCTTGTCAAGACAATACTGCCCAACTTGATACCACCTTAACTTCCCAGTCTTGTCCCCACATTTCAATCCAACAGCACATGATCAAAACCTCAGATATTGGCTTCCCACACCGCACTCTACTCCAACAGTTCCAACAACTGGCTTCCTCTGGTTTCTCTGGCCATCCTCTACACTCCTGAGGTTCTCACCACCCTCTCCCCTTACAGTCTTTCTTTCGGGCCACAATGGAAGATCCCACTTTAGACAAGCCCCTCAGACAGTAATAGGCAACCTAAAATGGCCTGTTATTTCCTCTATCACATAAGTTATTACACTGTATCACTTGCCTATTACCACACCATCAAAAAAATTTTGTCCCCACTGTTTCAGTGAGGCTCAGAAACCACCTTCTGATTAGAAATGGTAGGGAACCAGATACTTTAAGCAACCAATGTATCAATGCATGTTTTCCTACAGTGTATTTTCTTAAGAAAATTTACTAAACTCTTTTGAGCATCAAAAGCTGATGGAATTTCACTTATCGAAAATGTATTTGTACAAGAAAATTCACCCAGTGTTTTAATTATCATGATTTTCCATGTGAACATGAACTATTTATGACTTTGTGTGATGACTTGATACTATCTGAATCTGGACAGAGTGGGACTAAGAAACTGATTCTCCAAAAATGACATTAAGAACCCTACTATCAATCTGTCTCATAATCCTGGCCCCAGCAACAGACTTTAACCCATAGAGATTTGCCGGCATGTCAAAAAGAACCTTTATTACGTTTATAATAGCCTCTTATGGTCTCATGCTTTCTTGCCAGATGCTTTTGGAGCAGGTGCTTTCTGGGCTGGAGCTTTCTGACCCTTCTGAGCTTTTGGAGGAGGTGCCGCCTTCTGGCCTGCAGCTTTCTGAGCAGGAACCTTCTGGGCTGGAGCCTTCTTGCCCGCAGCGGTGACCTTTTTTGCTGGAACCTTAGCAGCAGCAGCAGCTGCAGCAGCTGCACCCTTTGCAACAAGTGCTTTCTTGGGAGAAGCTTTCAGGAGAGCTGCCTTTTGAAGTTTTTTAACTTCAAGCTTGATTAGTCTGTTCCTCTGAAAAATTTCAAAATAAACGTGTATTAAATATGCATATAAAATGCTTGCCCATCCTATATGTATAGAACATACAACCCTTACAATATCTGAGGCTCCTATGAAGTCAACTTTGGTCTACATAGCTTGGGCAAGCAGTTTAGGGTTAGAATACAACAATCCTGTAATAAATTAAAAACTTACCATTTTCCTTGCCTTCATGACTTTGTAACGATCAAAATCTGTCATCTTGGCCTTCTATTTAAAAAAAACAAAAAGTCATACCACCAATCCCCCCAAAACAGAAAAGGTCCAAATGCAAATGACAGTCTTTACCTTTTCTCTGGCTTCAATCTTCTTGGCCCACCTTGTGGCTGCCCACTTTGCATTGATATCTGCCTTCTCCCAGGCTTGTCGGACATACTTCTGGCGGGCACTAGAAAGAGCCAAGGTCACAGATTAAGAAATCAGTTTTGAGGTCACACACACCCAAGGATAGCTTTTTGTCCTCTGAAAAAGCACAATTTATATATACACCCTCAAGTTAAAAAAAAAAAAGGAAAATGCCTTAAGAACCCTTCCGATTTTCTCTACTTCTAGCTCTACTCGTCTCTGTGAGCACACGCCGCCTGGCATCCCTGTTATCTTTTACTTGTTTGAATGCTGTTCATCACTAAGCCAGGACGTTCTATAACCTCAAACACACAATTTTAATAAAAATATGCAAACTATTCTACTTTCTAGGTTTAAAAGTCATCTAGGATCAAAAATTTGTCCCAACACTATAAAATGCAATTATCATTTTGAAATTTCTTTCAAATTAGTATATGTCACAGGATATATTTCACTGCAATCAACTGTCACTGTGGCTGAGACAACTGTATAGCAAAACACCATAGTGTTTAACATCTATAACCTACATATATCAAGAAAGAACCACTACTGATTGCCTTAATTCTTACAAGTAACTGAGAAAAGAACTTCATTAATGGCTATCATAAGCAGATAATGTTTGTTAAATACTTAATAACTGACATACACTAAAAGCTCAACTAATGATGATAGTATTGGAAGAAACAAATGTGAGTAACTTTGTTCTGAAACTAAAATTGACTAAAATATGTTTGGCAAACTAGAATCCCTTAGGGAGGTCTTCGTTGTGTAAATCAGGAAAGAAAAAGAAACAAGAGGAAAACAATGGGAAATCTGGAAAAATGGAAAGCCAGAGAACTAGCAGATCACAGGATATTTTAAAAATAAATTAACGCCTGTCTGCTTCTAAACTGTAAATCCCTCTTCTAAACTGCTCTCACTCTTTCACATTGCTTACTATATTCTCAGGAGAAAAACAAAATACCAAAAACATTTTTAAAATTAAACTGAGCAAACTTTATTACTAGTATTAACAAAACTAGGGGAAGGGTGATGATTGGTGGTTAGTTACCTGTGTGGGAATTTGAGGACGAAATCAGTGAGCTGCATACATTTGAAAGGCATAGCCTGTCTCCTTACTTGAGTGCAAGGTCCATCCACCAAAGCCTAGAATACATAAGATCAAGGATCTCAATGTAAAAATGTAACAGCATTCAAAAAGCAGATATTCTATATATTAGTCCTTTCAGAATCATCAAATCCCTACTACTTAAATGCTTTTTTAAAAGGTTAAACTATTAGTAACAGCACAGCACATAACCCAACTACATACCACTTCAAGTCTTTAATCCTTGCATTTCCAACAACACCTTTATTATCATTCACAGCCTTGGTTAATTGTGGTTCTTAAATACGGACAACAGCAAACAAGGGCTTTCTACCTGCCTGGCTTTGTTCTAAACTCGTTTTACATATAAAAATTGATTTAAACGTCACCAGTGTTTTAGCCCATAATTAGTTAAAAACTTTGGGTAGTTTAAGGGGCATAAGTAATACTCAAATCCAGTAGTCCAGGCCAATTTAAGTCTGTGCTTCTAACCACTAACTACACAGGCTGTTTCCTCACTGGTAAAATAAGGCTACCACCCTTAGTACCCCTACTTTGGAGGGCTGTTGGGACAATTACCATTATCATCTACACTGTATACCATCCACTGCCATGTGAACTTGTGACACTTTTCCTTACTTACCCTGTTCTGGTCAATAACATCTACAATAGCGACCAGCTTCCCGGCATGAGGTCCAAAGGAGACGTAGGCCACCCGGCCAACCTCCACGAAGCGCCTGAACACCTAAAATTGAGGCGTAGAGGTGGAAAAAGCACCGAAAGTGATTAAAAATACTCGTTACTTTGCAAAGCTTTGCAACCTAAAGGCAAGCTAAGAATGGCGAAAACGAATGTTGAGGGGAAAACGCCCAAGCTCCATGAAACGACCTGGATGGACGAAATCGGCAGAGGCGGCGGCGGCGGCAAAAGCCAGGTTCCCGCTGGCCTCCAGGCCTAAGGAGCCAGAACGGTCCGACCCCAGCTCGGCCCCGGCGGCCTGGCCAGGCAACTGGCCGTTCCCGC